GCTCCTTTTTTATTAATTTGCTGAATGAGTTAGGGCTGTACATTTGGAAATCGTACAGCAGTTAGGCTGATCCAGGGAGCACTTCCCTGGAGACTTGGTGTGTGCAGACGTAATGTCTAACTTTGTGATAGACCCAGCATGAAGTGCAGCTGCACGTGCTGAATTTGCTTTATCTAAGGGCAAGCACTGCAGTCCTGTGGTAAGTACTTAGTAAGAGGATTGCTACAGTCCAGCAATAGCAGGACCGTGGATCTGAAATGTTACCTACGCATCTCTTCCACACACTGCATTAGTCAGCTTTGGCTGAGTCCCCTTGCATTTGCTTATAGTTATTTTAAGTAAATAACCTTATTAACTAGGATATTCCATCATCTAGTGATGAAATAAACATCAATATTAAAGGACAAGACTGAAAACGCTGCAAAATGACCCTTTGAATTGCTGTAAGCTGCCCCTTAAAGGGCTGTTTGTATCTGTTTGGTACCAAACTTGGTACATGTTAGACACATGCTTGAGTGGTGAGAATAGCAAATGCACAACCATTTACAAATATCTAAATGGTGGTGTGTGAAAGGGAGGCAATTAAGGAAAGAAGCAGAAGTACAAAGGCGCTGTATGGTAAAGATTCACTCCTTAAAATATTGTTCTGGGCTATTGCTTTGCTGCTTGTCATGTGTGGTGGGGGTTAAGAAGTGGTATTCTGGTTTCAGTTGAAGGAAAGCAGACAGGAAATTGTCTTTCCTGATTTCAGGTGTAATTGTGACTGTTTAATTACTAATGTTGCAGTGTTCTCACTCTTCTCTTCAAATCAGAATGCCAGGATTTTCATGGGAGTGCATGTGGATGTGCGGGGACAAAAAACAAGAACAGTTACAGAAGGTTTATGGATTATGAATGTACATTGCACGTCAGTTAGAAACAGAGCATGAAGTGCTGTTACTTAATGTAATTCCTGAGAGTGCTGGACTCTGTGTGCTTTTCAGCAGTGTTTCAGGATGGGAGCCTTGTTCTGCACTCCGTCTTATTTCCATCACTAATGACTGCCAGTAAATCCATTTCTGGCTCCTCAGCCACCAAGCAGTGTGTTACATTATGCATTCCCTATGTGTAGTTGCAGTTAACGCTGTACAAATCTTTTCTACCTCCCCATGTTTGTCCTGAATGAAATGTGATTCTTATTCCAGAAGTACTCTGTGTGCCCATGATTTAGCATTAATCAGGGGACTGTAATGCAAACTGGCTATTATGTCTTGGCAGGACATCTCAATGTTGTCTTCAAAAAGACCATCATTCCCCTTCTACAAAAGCAGAAAAAGACTCTGTGCAAAAAAGTCATTAAATTGCATGAGTGTCATGCATGGACGTGTGTAACATTTCCACACAGCAGCTACTGGGAGAGTGAAGCTGTAATAGAAGGCAGTGAACTGTTGCTCTTTTTCCTTGTTCCATCTACCTAGATAGAATTAATAATTGTACTTAATGACACTGCAACTGCTCTGATTTGTAGATGCTGGTTTGGTTAGTCTTTCAGAGAGCAGTTTTCCAGTAGGTAGTTGACTTGTGAAAAGCAATGCTGCAGCGAACATACTACATTGATTTCCACATAAACAATGATTTGGCACTTCACATACAGAGCAGAGGGGCCTTTTGTTCTGCATTCGATTAACTGACTTTCAAAGGAAGGAAATAGGTGCCGAAATTGAGCCTCGACAAATAAAACTGCTCTGTGGCATGAATGCTACAGTTTTCGTGACGTTTTATAGAAGGGATGATTTTTTTTTCCATTGAAGACTTACGATCTATGCTCTGGTAAAACTAGATTTTTAGTTAAAGAAATTTGCAGTCACCAAAAGGTGGCTGTGAAATAAGTCTAATATATAACCATCTGCTTTATGTCTTCTGCAGAACAGCGTTCCTCAGGCAATGCACCTGAGAACTTTAATGGCATTTTATCAAAACGGTTTGGTTCTCTGCTAATGTTATTAAAACTTGTGCGATTCTCACTGGAGAGCAGCATCTGACACTTCAAAGAAGGGGAGGCTGCTCCTTTTTGTGAGGATTGCTGCCGTCACAGCGTGCGTCACGGTGCTGTGCCTGTGGCCAGCCGTAGCAGCAGTGTGTCTTAGTGTGTTAGATCATTAATAGAAAGGTCGCCTTGTTCAGCAGACCCTCAAGGAGGGAGATTTAGCATCGTTTCTTATTTTCTGCGCTATAAAAATGAAATAATGAGACTCAAGCAAACTAAGAACAAAACGAGTCCTTGCTGTAGCTCCACTTTACTTGGGGGGACTGAGTTGTCTGTACCTGGAGCTGATGCCTTTCTGTGGCCACTGCAGTCCTATGACAGCTGTCGGGTATTTCTTTTTTCCCTTTCTCAGTTCCTGTCTACATTTCTGCAATACTTCCTGCTTTCAGTACTATTGGCCTTTTCTCTTGAAAGAGAGTGTACCAGGCACTGATATTCTCCCAGGTAACAAAGCAATGCTTTGCAGCATGACCTCGTGTTCTCCTGTTGAATTGCCATCAAGATTTTCCTCTGTATACTGTCTGGTTTGGTTGTTTTTTTTGTTTTTTTTTTTGATAGTTTGCATTCATTAGGGCTTATTATTATAAAGGGAAGCAGTGTGAAAGAAGGGGAACTTTGAAGACCAACCTTTTGTTGTTTTTTTTTTTTCTACAGCTCTTTCATGGAAATACCAAAAGGGTATTTAATACAAGAGAGTTGACACTTGAATTTTTAGTAGTGCATGGTTGTCTTTTTTTTCTTTTGATCAATATAATAGTCGTAATTAGTTCTACTGTTTCTGAGCCTTTGAACTGCAGAGAATTCAAGCAGCTTGTTGCAGCGAGGGACTCCAGAGGAACCTTAAAAGTACTCTTCCCTTTTACATATATTACATGTACACGGGCTTAATGATACCAGGCTGTGTCTGGATTTTTTCATCCTGTGCCCCACCTCTCAAACTAATATTTTGAAAAGCTTTGAGAGGTCCCTGGAGTGTAACTGCCTACACAGCTCGGAGCTTTGCTGCCTAAAGAGGATAAATGCTTTGAAGTCTGTTCTAATCCTGACTGCCATTTCACATATTTCTCAAGATCACTGAGGTAGAATCCTATGGGGAATAAGGAATAAATGTTTTTATAAGCAAATACCCTTTCTTTATTGTTTATCTCCCTCTGTTAGCACAGAGGGTTCCAAGAGCCTCTTTCTGCCTTTCTGATTATCTTTCTGGTGAGAACTTTGTTTTCAAGGTGTAACGTCCCTTGCAGGGGAGAGAATCTCCCTCTGTGGTGTGCACACCAATGGTGATGATGGATGAGCTGCCATTTGTCTCTGGATGGAGCAGGCATGGCCCAGGAGCATGATGGGCTTCATCCTCAGCCTGCAGTGAGGACCAGGCCTGGCTGGGAGCCCCAGTGTCACTGCTGGAGAGCCTGGGGTGACAGGACAGAAAGGGCTGGAAACAGCTGCAGCCACGTAGTGCAGGTTGTGAAACTGCTCACGTTGATGTGATCCTGTCTGGTGCCTCCAGGTTTGGGGGATGCAAGGCCTGCAGGAATTAGCAGAGCAGGTGCTGCTGTTATTCCATGAGCTTGCTTTGCTTCTGCTTATTTCTACCTTCTGTCGTTTAGAAAAGCTTTTTCTTCTCACTGTGTGCTCCTGTGGCAGCAAGTAGATGGATTTCATGACATGCTAAACTGTTTTACTTCCCTTTGTCTAAGCATGGTCTGCAGGGAGTTATTTGTAAGCGCAAATAAAGCTGAAATAAAAACCATAATAAGCATCAGGTGGGTCAGAAGGCTCAGGTGGCTGGAAAGGCTGTGTGTGTTATTTTCTTATCAAAAGGAGGAAAGAAAACACCTTTTTATTTCATTCTCAGATAAACATCTGACAGCAGTGAACACTAAGGGGGGTGAAATGAAGTTAAATAAAGCATATCCACAAGACGAAAAGACTGCTTAATGAGTGCTTAGTGCAAGGGCAGAAAGCTTGCTGCTGTTCCCTCCGTGCTGTGGGGGATGTGGATAGGAAAACAGCTTTTAAGAAAGGGAAGCAGATTATCAGAAGGTGAGCTGTTAGTGAAGGTTCATCTAATGCAGCAAGGGCAGCCCTGAGTGCCAGCATGGGGCTGGGTGGGAAGCAGCTGCTGGCACCAGTGCTGCCATCTGATGAGTCCCCAGCTCCTTGGTGGAAACTGTGCTGGTGTCCACCTGAACATCTTTGGGATCTTCCAGCTATAGGATCGTGCCCAGGGGGCTGATCCTGTATGAGCAAGCAGTGGCCAGGTTGATATGACACAGAGCAGGTCGTGGGAAGGATGGCCTCTGACCCCACTGTATTCAGTACTGGATACAAGGCATAATTTGAATGGTAGAAATCGAGAGCATTTGTAATTAATCTGTAAATAGCTTTCCCACTTGAAATTAAATATTTATTACCTTGGAGTATCACCATTAGAATGGGTAGGTAAGTTGTTGGGAGTGCATTACCCAGTGGGACTTTAAGCAGTGTGTGTCTCTAAAAGGTGTATGGTGGGAGGTAGTAGGGATGCTTTGCAAGAAACAGAGCAGATGTAGCTATGCAAATACTGAAGTGAGCACGAGTAGCCTGGTTATTTTGAGATTATTCAGGTATTTGAGACAGGTCCTGCTGAAAATTTCTAAATCTTCCTTCCCCCTTGATCCCAAGTTCTTAGTATATTAATAAAAATAATAAAACCTTCTAACAAATAAAAAAGAAATCAATTTTGGGTAAGAAATTGTGCTCTGTCATGTAGCCTACTGCAGAATGATGAATTGCTTCAAGTGATGTATTAATCTACCAAAATATTTGTGAACAAACCTAAATGTTTATTTGCAATTACTCAGCTACTGCATAGAGCTTCACGGATGGCTCTCTGTGACAGTGACTGATGTTTTTAGGGATTTCTGTTCTTGCTGCCTTTGAACAACTCTTGTACTTTTCAAAAAACCACAAACAATTCTCCTTTTCCTTATAGGTATCCGGAAGGTTTGAAGTCACAAGAAGAAAAGGTAGGGAAGTTTTCTTTCAATCTGCTTGTTGGTGTTGAGTATTCTTGCAGTGACTTCTTAAAGCAAACATGAGTTTACACATTTGAAAGGATGTACTGCTGCCAGATTTCAAAGGCTGCCTCCTAGCACTTGCCTGACAGATTTTTAAAGTAGTGACTTGAAGATTTTTTTTTAAATGCAAAGTTTTTCTTCCTGCACAGAATTAAATGACAGTCTTGGGGATGCAAGTCCAAGTTGGAGTGCTGGCAGAGGATCTGAACTCTGACCCTGGGAGCACTTTAGGGGTGGGAAAAAGGCTTAAACAAGGCTTTCAGTGCATTTGTGTGCTTCAAATCCCCCTCCCCACAGTGCAGTAATGTTGAACATGAATTTGCTGGTGCCCTGAGCTCAGGTCCTGCTCCTGCATACTCTTTTGCATTGCTGTTTGTAACTGGTTGCTTGCTGCTGTGAGCAGCTCATTGGTGGTTCCTGGCAGCTGCCTAAGTTGCCCATCAAAGAGCTCCTTATGGTTACTTGGTTTTGATTTTGTTTAGGAGAAGTTTTCTGAAAGTTTTCATGCAGTTTTGTGTCATCTCTGTTGGTGTAATGTGAAGTGGGAGGCACTCTGCTGTTAAACAAACGAATGCTTTCCCTGTTTTTATTCAGTAACTGCTACTATTGCTTTGGGCATCCTGTGTATCAGAAAGAGGTTGTAACTAGCACTGTTTCATTGTATAAAAGGAAAGGCCAGGTACAAGTGTAACTTGTCATCTGGGCAATGATTGGATTTCTGGTGTTTTTCAAGGTGGTCGTGGCTCTCCAGGCCAGGGCTGTGCAGCCCAGTGAGGCTGAGACAGCAGAGGGACTTGAGCAATTTAAATCATAGCAGTTGCTGTAGAAGAAATTTTGTTAGCTCAGTTTTTTTGGCACGTGTATGTTTGACCAAACTTCTGCCAAATGATTTTCTATCACTTTTCTAATGAGGAAATTCTGTTTTGTCAGACTTCGGTCAGCCTCAATCTGAGGAGGGCTTTTGGGTTGTTGAAGTGGATCTAAGATGTAGAGAAACAGCTTTGCTTCCTGGATGTGGAGGCATTTATCTAACTGTGGAGTGTGTGGTGCAGCTCATTACTGATGTACAGACCGAGTCCAGCCTTGCTCTGGTGGAAAGAAGGATTTAATGAACAAAATTCTGTGAAAGTACCACAAGTCTGAGTTGAGATGTGATTCGGGTCTCCAAAGTCTACTTACCATTGAAAGTATCCCGAACACCTGCGAATTCAAATAACAGTTTTTGAATGTAATACTGAGTTTATGGGTCGTGCAGATGCTTTGAAAATGCTCCTTGCGAGCAGTGATTGGATTTTAGTTCAGTGGCTCTAAACACTGAATTCCCAGGCTCAGGTGGATTTTTTTGTTTGTCTTCACAGAGTGGGCAAGGCTTGATTTCTGTTTGGAGGGCTTAATGTAGCAGTCTCCGAACAGAAAGCACTTCTTGAGATTGGAACAAAAGCTTATTGTATTGAGTGTGTTTCTGCTGAAGGAATTATCTGTCAGGAGGCTTAGAGGTGAGGAGGGGAGTGGAGGCAAGAGTGATAGCCAAGAAGTCTCCCTTTGGTGTCGTCTCAGAAATGAGGTGTCTGAAGGACTGCAGACTCCTTGGAATTCAGGAAGAAAATGCCAACATGGTAAGTAGACACTGGCCAGTAAAGCTGGTGGGTTTGCTGAGCTGCCTGGGGGTTTCTCAGCAATGATTAAGGATCGTCATCTCTGGAGTCAGTCCTCAGTAGTTCCTGTACAGCAACCCAACAAGTCTCCTTCAGGAGCCTGATGAGCACTCGATGTTTGCAGAACAGGCATACTTAGGCCTAGAAAAAACAGGAGTGTTTCAAAATGAAAATAAAAAGGCACACAATCTATTACAAATTTTGTTATATTATGTGATCTGATTTTTAAAATTGAGGCTTTTTTCTTCAGAGTAGTAATTGTTGAATTACTTGTTGTGAATTCTTTTCACTTGAGGAAACTAAAGAAGATCACAAGAGGTTTGAATGTTTCTTCTTGGAGAAGGTGGATGTTGTGAACGTTGTCCCCCATCCCTTTGAGGAATATTTGGCTTTGTGGTTGAAAGCTGAAAAAATGAAACTTAAAAATATCAAACAGAAGTCACCTCAAATAAGAGCTGTAGCAAGCATATTCTATTTATTACATTTATTATTGCTTTTATGTAGTGATCGTGGAATTGTGCAAGGGCACTTTTAAATGTTTTTGCTGAAGTGGGGGGCAGGCCTGGCTTACACTTCTCAGATGTTTTTCCTTTTGGGCAAAAGGCTTGATTTCTTTAGATTGAAGGAGTATCCTTCTTTCCAAGGAAACAAAGCCTTGGTTGCTGTCAAATGGTCCGTGGGTAAACACTGACTGTACTTATTTCTTTCAACAAATAGTCCATTTAATAGGCATTTGATGGTCAGTTCTGCCTGGACTATAGGGTTGTATTTATTGGATGGAAGAAAGATGTGAAAACACTTTCTTTTTTTCAGCTGTGGATAAGCCTATTTAAACTGGGATGCTTTTGGTTTCCAGAGTCAGGACTGCATATGCTGGAGAAATTTTGAGGCAGCTCCAAAGCCCATTACAATCGATGAATGGCTTCATCTGGCTTCTGTTGGCACAGGATCAAATGTAATTAGGTGAACTTTTAATTGCTGTGATATGGAGGGGAGATGCCTCCCTGGCTGCAGCTGGCAGACAACTTCCTCTGTGATGTATGAAGACTGATTTCTTTCTGAATTTAAGCGGCAGAGCTGGCAGATCTGTTTTGTTCCTGGGATGTCGAGCTGGTGTTTGGTTATTATCCTTTGAAACTAAAAATGCTCTGTGAACTGAAGAAACTCATTCTGGTAGCTGATTAGAAGCTGCAACAATATCTTTGTACTTCCCATTTAATCCCATCGAGTTGAAATTTTGCTCTCAGACACAACCCGGTGCAGTTTGCATCTGCATTATATTCCTGTAATGGAAAAAAGAACATGACACGAGACACAGGATTTTGTGATGCCTTCTTTAAAGAGAAAAACAAAACCCAGCATGTGGTTAATAAGCACAGGATTTGAATACCATTTTCTTGCTCTTATAAATTCAGGTTGGGGAGCAAGTTAAAGCAGGCAGGCTTTTCCAAACTGTCCAGCCTTCTCACACTTTCTATCTAAATACTTTCTAATTACTTACTCTGTACATCCACACAACTGTGCCTCCATGCAGTTCTTGCAGTAAAGATGCAGTATTGCCTCAAAATTCTTGCTTTCTGAATTATTCTCATCTCAGTGCCTGCTGGCACTCTGAGTGTATGCTGAACAGATGAGCTCCCTGCACTGGGAGGTGAGTGGGGGTGTGATCTGTCCTTCTGTCCAGGTGTGGATGTCTCTGATGTCAGATGTTTGCATTATTGCTGGTTTCCTGTAGCGTTCAAGAAAGGGAAATTGAGTAAAAATGTTAATAACCTGTATGTTCGTATCGGTTGCTGAGGATAGTGAAAATAGATGCAGGAGGACTGGTGGGGCACAACAGGGCAAGAGCAGGGGTTGAAAGGAAAGCTGCAGTTCATGCTGGCCAGTGGATGATGCGTGTGTTTAGTGAAAGTGAGAAGAGCATTCAGCAGAAAACTGGGAGACTAGGAAATTTATAGCAAAGCAGAAGTGCCAGACCAAGCTCCAAAGGGTTTACCTGTGAGCATTTGGCTTTACAATGGCTGGACTTAACTTTGAAAGTAGAGATTGCACTGTGTAATGAGTAGATATGAACATATGATACTTGTTGGTTCGTGTTAAAGATGAAAATAACTTGTATAAAAGCCATGTACTTCCACATCTAATTCTGTGCATTCAGTAGAAGGGGCATCTGGTGGTTTTCCTGAATAATTAACCACATAAGGTCTGATTCTGTAACTTCTGGAGCTGACAAATGCTCCTATTGCTTTTGGCAGTGCAGGGCTAAAGGGTGCTCAGTACCCAGAATAAGTTGTATGCAGGCTAGAACTGTATGACCATATGTGTGGGTAGTCACTAAGCAGAGAGCTAGATCTTCAGACACAAACAAGCAAAGCCATGCTGAATTTAATGGACCTCTCTCTCTTTTTACTAGCTGAGGATCTAGTCCAAACACGTAAAACTTTTAATTTGTTTTTATGTTGCTCACAATCATCCATTCAACAAATTAGTGTCAAAAGATGCTTTTTAAAGCATTTAGCCAAGAAATGTTCAAGCAGATTGCTTCCACTCTGTTTGTCCATATAATCTTAAATGAGATGTAACTCCAGGCTTATTCAAACAGATGACATCTAACTACCATAAAGACCTGAACTTTGGTTATCTTTTCAGCATTAAAAGGTTGAAGCCTTTTCTTTGAAGTAGTCACAAGCTCAGTATTGTGAAAGTCTTATATGTATTTTTATGTATTTAATGGTACAGAATCATCATTGCTGCAGTGAATTACTGGTCACCATGAAGACTACAGAACAGAAAACGCAGAAGTTTTATTGAAAGTGCATCAGTTCAGCAGTGGTGGAGGATCCTGCCAATAGCTTAAGGAAAACTTCATGATTTGCCACTTTTGCCCTAGATGAAAAACTGAGTCATGGTTATGAAACAATAATGCCCTTTAGAGATCCTATTGACTTCATCCTTTCCTTTTGCACATTGCAAATTTCCACCTATCCACGGAAGATGAAAGGCTCTCAAAACTTGGCAGGAGCAGCAAGTTTCTCTCCTCAGCCCCTTCAGGGGCACAGTGAAGCAATCAGCTGTAATTTCTTTTATAGTAAATCACCTATTAATTTCCCATCCCGTTGTTCTCTTCCTACTGCTAGAGTCCAAGAAATCTTACGTTCCTTATGTCCTGGTCAAACCTCCTGGAAATCAATAGCTGTGCTCCAAAAGATCTTGGCTGTCAGGTAATTCAAATGGCATCTAGATTTGAAGGTACTACACAAATCTATACACCTTTGTGTGTATGCTATGTATGTA